ATTAACCATTAGGGAAAAATGGAAAATAGAGCCAAAGCTAAATTTTGAAGAAAAATCATTTTCTTTTCGCAAAAGGGAAAATCGGAAATTTTAAAATTCATGTTTTGAGAAAAAGAAAAATCAAAACATCATGCCATTAAAAAAATATCAAATTATCCAATTACAATAATTAAATATACAAGATATAATATGAAATCTAATTTTATTAAATTTATTAAATAATTATTATTAAATATTTTCACATGATACGAAATTAATCGGTTATGGGTCGAATCAGATAAGTCTGTTTGGGCCAGTTTTTAATTTTTTTCAATCCGGTTTGCCCCAGCCATGCCGTCATCATCAAGGTCCAAGCCCAAATGATTATCCGGCAACTTGTAGTAGTTTATTATATGGTCACCGTAGTCAAACTCTCCCCTCGGCCCTTGCGTTAAAAAAGAGAGACCACCCACCACCCAGAGACAGATCCTCCAAACAGAACCATATCCACCCACTCTCACTTCCACACATCGCCGGTTATTTTTTTTTCTTTCCCCAAGAAAAAGAAAAAGAAAAAGAAAATAAATAAAAGAAGAAGAGAAAAAAAATAAAAATCAATCCTCCCTTTCTTTTAAGTTTTAATATTTTTAACCTCGAATTTTATTATTATTTATTATTTATTATTATTATTTTTGAATTTTTGGAAGCGAGAATAGATCGCTAAATCTCTCCAAAAACTCAAAAAAATTCAAAATCTCTCAGTATGGCCTTTCACGTAGCTTGCCCAATTACATGGTACAACAAATATTTTTCACCATCAACCCCGCTTAAACACCTCTCCTTCCTTCTTTAAACTCATGGTTTTTCTTTTTTTTTTTGGTTTTGTAGCCGCCGAATTTGCTTCTGTTCGCTAGGGTTTCCTCAGGATCTCCAGGTGTCCAACGCCAAGAATGTCTTCTTCCAGGAAGTGATTCGGGTTGAGGACTTCTTCAAGGATCCTTGGGGGATTAGGGTTTCCAAGGAAGGGACCGTTCAGGTTTCGGTTCCCAAGGTTGAGCCGGTTCGGCCCGGAGATGTTCCCGCTGGGGTTGATGCGGTTGATGAGGCAGCGGCTCTATCGGCGCAGGCCAAGCGATTGGCGGTTCAGAGAAGGGCGGCTGCCGCGATGGTTGTCGCTGAGGATTTTGCTAGGAGGGTTGAGTCTGGGGACATTGCGGTACCATTTCTACATTTAATCTTTTGATTGATTTTTTTTTTTTTTTTGTTTTCCTCTTTTTGAAAGTGAACGTATGGGTGGATGTTGTATTTGAATTCTAATTTTTTAAGTTCTCTAGCGATTTAGCAACTGGTTAATTGGAATCTAGCAACATATAGCTGCTGGTTAGATTGGTTTTGCAATTGTGTTCAGCAATTAATGTTTCTTTGGTTTATCTTTAGTTTATGGCGTTACAATGGCATTCCAAACTTCCCCCATAGGAAAATCTGTGAACCCAGCAATGGGAGAAAAAAAAAAAATTTTTTTTTTTTTTTTCTGTTCCATTTTTTGTGCTTTTAGATGATGATATTCTAGAGCAACAATTTATTTTCCTTTATAGGTTGCCTCAAAAAACCCAGCTGGAGAAGAGCAAGGTCAATCCAACATGAATGTAATGTGTCGCATGTGCTTTTTGGGTGAAAATGAAGGAAGTGAGAGAGCAAGAAGAATGCTCTCGTGCCACAGTTGTGATAAGAAGTACCATAGGAGCTGCCTGAAGTCTTGGGCCCAACACAGAGGTACCATATTTTTGCCCCTTAATTTGATCAGTCATAATAAGTATGCATGCTTTGTACATTCTCAAGAGGTAGCATGATTGCAGATTTATTTCACTGGAGTTCCTGGACCTGCCCTTATTGTCGAACATGCGAGGTAAATCATAAGCATTCTACTGTTCAATTTCTTACTGAGTTGCACTTGCTAAAGTACAATGCTGTTTCTATGAGGCCCCATGCCAGGATTTGGAACTTCAATGCTTATTATCTCATTATTATGTTGATCTTTACTTAAATTGATTCGTAACTATTCTCTCAGCATCTTTATGTCTTTTTTTTTTAGGTGTGCCGCAGTGCTGGAGATCCAACTAGGCTTATGTTCTGCAAAAGGTGTGATGGCGCATACCATTGTTATTGTCAGCATCCTTCTCACAAAGTATGTGTGTATTCGCTATTCCTGACTTCTGCATCTTCATAAAAATCGCTTGATATATGATAATTTCCCGGAATGGATTATGCAGAATGTTACTCCTGGACCATATTTGTGTCCAAAGCATACACGATGTCACAGCTGTGGATCCACCGTCCCTGGAAATGGTTTAAGTGTGCGGTATGGTTGTTAACCCTTGGGAATTTCCTATTTATATTGATTCATTAGTTTTATTTATTTATTTTTATTATTTAAAATCTCTTATTATCTTGTTTTCTTCAGTAGTGTTTTAAAATTGATGGTTGATGATCTTATCTTTGTTGATTCTACATGATTATATCCCTTAAACTTAGACATAAATGTTTCATCATTTGCTTTTGACTCTCACAGGTGGTTTCTAGGATATACCTGTTGTGATGCTTGTGGAAGGTTGTTTGTGAAAGGAAATTATTGTCCTGTGTGTTTAAAGGTATGGTCTATGGCTCTATGCTCTTAGAAAGTGTGGGTATTTTGGGTTTGATGTGTAATCTTTATTTTGTTTCCTGTAGACTGCATGATTAATGTACTTAAACTATCCTAAACAATGCTGATAGTCCAGTTGTTCTATGCACAACTGCAGTCCATCCATGTCTGAGTTGCTTAACGTGCTTTATTTCATTATTTGTTCTATAAATATGTTAGAAGTTTACTTACTAGATGTATTTTGGCCCAACCTGTAGGTCTACAGAGATTCAGAATCAACACCAATGGTCTGCTGTGATGTTTGCCAGCGCTGGGTGCATTGTCATTGTGATGGCATCAGGTTTATGAAGCTCATTTTTTGTCTATATCATGTTTACTTATATTTCTGATTGAGGAATTACATCTTTGAAGTTAATATGATTTTTTTCAACAATATTTTGTTGAGCAACTATGATTAGGGCTCTATAACATCTTATATGCTGCTGAAGATTTGTATCATGTGTGATCTTTATGAGTTAGTATTGAAGCAAACATGTCATAATCACAACATCTAGATCTAGCTGACAATCAAATAGACTTTCTGAAAGATTTCTATTTTAGAACTTATCTATTGCTTGTTGAAGACTACCAAGTTGCTGAATCCTTCCCTTGAGTATGCTTCTTCAGTTTTCTACATGCTGGAATACCTCCCTAGAAAAGTGGCTCTTCTTTTTTCCTTTTCTCTCTCCCTTTCTCTCTCTCTCACTCTCTCTCTCTTCTTTTTTTTTTGTCCTGATAACTTTTTTTTGGCTTTTTACGCAAACTTTACCTAGTAATTTTTTTTTTTTTTTTTTTTTTTTTTTTTTTGGGTGGGCATGGAAGGTGGTTTACCAGTTTATTCCTTTCATATCTTTCCTCACTCATGGAAAAATGTTTTGCAGTGATGAAAAGTACTTGCAGTTTCAAGTAGATGGGAATCTCCAGTACAAATGTGCTACTTGTCGTGGGGAGTGCTACCAGGTTGTTTTTAAATGGCCCTCACCCTCTCCCTTCCGTGGAGGGGGAATGAGTTATTTGGGTCTGATTTCTAAATTACTGAGTTTCCTATTTAATTGACTTTATGTTGCTGTTGCCAGGTTAATGATCTTGAGGATGCCGTTCGAGAGCTCTGGAGGAGAAGAGACAAAGCTGATCGAGATCTAATTGCAAACTTGAGGGCAGCTGCTGGGTTGCCTACCCAAGAAGAAACATTTTCCATTTCTCCATATTCAGATGATGAAGAAAACGGTCCTGTGTTATCAAAGAATGAATTTGGGCGATCTATAAAATTCTCTCTCAAAGGATTAGTTGACAAGTCACCAAAGAAGACAAAAGAGTATGGAAAGAAACCAAAAAAGCATTCTAAGAAAAAAGCTAATCAGGCATCTTTAACAAGTAAAGTAGAACCAAACCAGAGTTTTGAAGGAGATCCTGATGCCCAGTCTCAAGGATATAGCTTGGGTGATGACAGGAATGATGAAATTTTGTCTCATAGAAGTGAAGGACAAGATATTTCTTCTGTTGCAGGAATTTGCTCTACCAATCAACCGGGAGTTTTGAAGCACAAGCTTGTGGATGAGGTGATGGTGAGTGATGAAGATAGAACTTCTCGAGTTGTTAAACTAAAGAATAATAAGCCTCCCACATTGGACAGTGGATATGATGCCGGAAAACTTGGTAGCAAGTCAAAGACGGTGAAGGCAAAGAAGTTAGTGATAAATTTAGGTGCACGGAAAATAAATGTAACTAATGCTCCAAAATCTGATGCTTCAAGTCTTCAAAGAGAGCAAGAGTTAGTTTTGTCGAATGGTATGTGCCTACTCTTATATCTCTAAGATAGCTTTAATTCCATGAATAGAATACTGTTTTGGGTCTGCATGGGTAGAATACTTTACAATAATTTCTGGATTCTGACATCTGTCATGTTCTACAGAGTACTTTTACTCTAAACTTCTAGTTGTTTGTTTGCTCACTACATTCATAGTTTAGTAATTTCTGGATTCTGACATCTGTCACGTTCTACAGGCTCTTCTTTCTACTTTATTTGAGTGCTAAATAGGTTTATGATTTAGTGCTATTTCTTTGTTTATATTTGTTCTTATTGATAAAAGGAATTGTGTACATCATGTCTTTTTTCTTCTTTGTTTAAGATGCAGGCCAGGAGAAAATGGATGACAAGTTTATGTTTGATAGAGATGACAGAACTACTAAATCTGTTGATGGTAATGTCTCTATTTCTCTAACACTCACACACACTAGAGAAAGAAAAATAATTAAAAGAAGAGGAATTGATAATGTTGCCACTGCTAACTGTTTGGAGCTGCTTTTGTGTTTCTCCCTGAAGACAGAGTTGTAATTTTTTCACTCCTTGCAGGGGACAAAGTTTATCAGTCTGACCAATCAAGAGGTTTAAAAATTGCTGGAAGAGAAGGAAATTTAATAAAATTTGGAAAAATTAGGTCAGAGAATCCTGAGTTGACCCCTAAAGTTGATAGGGGGAATGGCGCTGGTGGTTATTCAACAGCTTCTCCAGAGCAACCACGTGTTGCATCAGGAAGAAGAAGCATTGAAGGAAGCAGGAGTACGGCTGGAACCATGCATGAGGTCCCTTCTTCAAGGGGAGGCAAGGTAATTTTGGAGAAGCAATTTGAAGGTAGGCTTGCCGCATTTGGTGAAAGCATTGGAGATTATGGTCACACACCTGCCTCAAGTGCTGTCTCAAGAGACTTGAAACCTTCTCTGAAGTTTAAATTCAAGAAACCCAACTTTGAGAATCAAAATTCTCAGGTTCTGCAGAATGAGGAGGAAAAGAGTTTAGTTAAAGGCCAAAGGTCAAAAAGGAAGAGACCATCACCCTACATGGAGAAATCATCATTTAATGATGACGAAGATGGTGATTCTGCACAATTGAATCAAGACAGTTTAATGGATGGGATGATGGATGCTAGTTGGATTCTGAAGAAGTTGGGCAAAGATGCAATTGGGAAGAGAGTTGAAGTCCACCAGGCATCTGATAAATCATGGTGAGTTGAAGTTCTACAGATTTCAGGACTAAATCTAAGTCATATGTCCCCTCCACTCTTTTCCATTTCATTTGTGAGGGCAGAAATGGTGCTCATTTCTCCTGAGGAAAAATCAAGTAGTTGTAGTTGGTTGCTGTTTTGTTTTTTGATTTCATAGAAGATTAGTAGGATCCTTGTTTAACTAAGGTCTTCCTTTCCTCTAAAATGAGCTAAAGTAATGCCAGCTTTCAAGATGTTTTCCACTAAATTGTATTCTCATTCTTCAAATTTAATATCCAGGCATAAGGGAGATGTTACTGATGTAATCGAAGGGACATCAACATTATCTGTTAAGCTGGATGATGGTAGAGTGAAGACCCTGGAACTTGGTAAGCAAAGTGTCCGCTTTGTTCTTCAAAAGCAAAAAAGGTCAAAAATTTGAAGGCTAAACTGTTCTTGGGCGGTTTATCTCAATGGAGTCTGCCTTCCACATTAAAGATGATGCAATTTGTAGATTCTCAATTCCTCAGCTGTCTATCTACCATTGATAGTGTATTGTTAGCTTCGTCCTCAGCATTTGTGGTGTATCCTGGCTATTCATATTTGATTTTTCAGTGAAGAATCAGGCCTGGCCCTCTCCAACAAGGCTTGGCTCTGCTCTAGAGGAAGGACGTCCATTTTTCTCTTGCACCTTCCCCCCTTCCCAACGCATGTATTCCATTAACAAACTCTGATATTCAAAGGTAGCTCTATCTTCTGTCTAAAATTGGGTACCCCATTTTTGTATCCATTGAAGCGCACACCTATGCAAATTTAACTCCTTAGATGGTACCGTGTGCATTAAATTCTAATGTACTACTAGTCATTTTCCTTTCAATTAGAAGGTTTGAATCTCTCATGTTCAAAATGCGATGCTGGGGTTCTCTTGCACTGCCCTCGTTTCAAATACCATCAATATATGCTCTAGCCCTGTTGGGCCAGTTGGTGGTGCGGTGCATCCAACCCAAGTGTTGTAACAATTCCCCATCTCCAAATTTCCTGTGTTAATAAATAAATAAATAAATAAACACAATTAATATGGCACTAATTTTTCTTTCATTGCTTCTGGGAATTTTCACTGTTTCAACTAAAAAAGGCATTCAAAAAAAAATATCTGTGCTTTATCCCTTTTTATTTTTATTTTT